TTTCTCGCTTTTTGATTGGCTACTTAAAAAAAGTCAATAAAATCTAATTGGTTAAAAATTGACAGTTTGACAGCTGAAAGTTGAATTTGAAAGCTTGCATAAATTAAAATTTTATCCGTCTGTACTGTTATTGATGATAAAAATGAGCCAATCAGCGCGCGAGAAGTTAGACAGTTATTGTACTGTAAAATTATATTTCGAGGCCTCTTTTACCTCAAGATAAGACATCAGCCGTAAAAGTTTACTTAATGTACTTAGTTGCCTTGAATTGAGTACGTTTACGTGATCTAAATTTCACTAATGTATCGTTTTGTACGGCCGATATAGTTGTAAGTTAATATCGTCTTAAAAGAACGAAAAAAACAGATGGCCTTCAACGCGCCATATCTCGAAAACGAATACAATTACTCCCCCCACTCCCCCAATTTTTTCGCCTTTTGGCAAAAGTTAATCTTTACAGTACTTCATGGTAAGTTTTAAAAAAATCTGTCCGTGGGAACATTTTGGGCACGTTCGTCCTTAACACCTTTCTGGCAGCTCTAAGAAACAGTTTAATATGCAGCTAGAAGTTGCTCTTGCAAACAAAAAAAGTCCATGTTTTCATATCGTCAAGTGGAGAAATAAAAATTACAAAAAATACTACAAATACAACATTTAATAAAACATGCAAATCTCTTGTAAACTTTCTTCCTTTTGTTTTTCAACCCTTTTCCCGTAGTTTCTTTTTACTTTACTTTTGTTCACTTAGTCTTGGAGTTTGTATTCTTTTACTAACCCGTTGAGTCTCCTTTTTCTTTCTTTCTCCTTCTTTTGTAATTAAGTCTTGTAATTAAACTACCTTTGTGTAAGTAAAATTGATTATTACTATGTAGCTGTAAATTACAAACTAACTTAATAGAACATATTTAGATACGTACTTTGAATTGTAGATATCAGGATGTAAATGCTGGGCTCCTGTTAATTTCAATTTCAAGCTAGTAAAAAATTATTTCTAGGGCATCACTTTGGAATTAATATATCACACATGAAATAATGAACTGATCTGGACTAAAACGTTGGATATTATTTTTACTTTACAATTGCCGTCTTTGCAATATTGAAGTGCAAAACGTCGAAAGAACCGAGGTCGAAATCATCACTTTAATATCCAAACTCGCTGCACACGCGCTCGTTCCTTAATTTCGATTCTGGTGTAATTGAGTTTCAAAATCATAAAACGTAAATATATTTATCCGACATCCTATCTTGACCTCATTGTTCGCATGAGCCCTGTTAATTAATACCACACACATACACACGAAAAATGTAAAACGGTTAAGTTTAGAGCGCGTAACTGAATTGAAGATAAAATTGTATGGCTTTTGTATGGCTTTTCAAGCAAGGTCTCGTGGTATTGGCATATTATATTTCCTCATTGTAAATATTTACATGTAAAACTGTTGTTATTACCGTTATATTCAACACGCTCAATAATATCTTTATTCCATGTCGACAGGAAAATTGTCGCTGTGTAAACCCTCTCGGCAGGTGATAAAATAATTCTCGTTGCTACCGGTGACCGCGCTTGACAGGTCAAAAATACCCAGAAATATCTGGAGCTCAATAGAGATTGAGAATCTATTTTATAGTAATACCTCTTAAATACAGCAGCGCGGATACGTTCGGTAAAAAATATAATACTGCTACTAAGCTACACCTTCCCTTGAGTAGGTGCCATAAGACATGATGGAATCGCTTTCTGAAGCACTTACTTTGAGGACTAAGGTCTTTGTTTGGACAGAAACAGTTTTGTTAGCTGTTATCAATGCTGTGGCCTTCTTTGGTAATCTTCTAACTTGTTATGCCGTGTACAGAAACCAGAGACTTCGTACGCTACCCAACATGTTTGTGATAGCGCTTGGTGTAAGCGATATTCTGATGTCCATCTTCTGTATGCCTTTTTCAGTTGTAACTCTGTTTCACGGCCGCTGGATGTTTGGTGAGAGTTTTTGTCGTTTTGACGGTTTTGGAGCATTGACATTTGGACTTGCTGCTCTTCAGACCATGGGATTAATTGCAGTTAGTCGATATTTTTGCGTTGTCAAACCAGAAAAGTACGCGGTGTTGTTCAAAAAACAAAGAGCTTTGCTGTACATTGCTGTTGTGTGGTGCGTAGCTCTCGCTGGATCTGTGCCTCCATTCTTCATGAAGAACGCTGGCTTCGAATTCCAGCCTGGTAAAGCCATGTGTTTGTACACATTTGAGAGAAGCATTCCTTACGCCGTGTTTCTTGGGTCCGTTTATATTGCAGCACCCTTAACAGTAATTAAAATCTGCTACGCCAAAGTGTTCTACACAGTGTCTAGATCAAACCAAGTTTTCTCGCTGGAAAATAATCTGTAGCAGCTCAGAGTGAACGTGGAAGAAGCAAAAGTGACCAAGACTTTAGCAGCAGTAATGGTCGGTTTTTCATGTTGTTGGCTTCCTATTGGTGTAATGGACTACATCGATGTCGCACAAGGGAAACCCACCTTTCCGCGACAGGCTTACCTTACATACGGGTTCTTGATTTACCTAAGTAGCACCATTAACCCCTTTATATATGGGGTAACAAATAAACAGTTCAGGCGAGAGTACAAAGCTATTTTGAGACAAATTCTTTGCTTTCGGTGCCAAAATAATCATGAGAATTAGCATAAAGCAAAGCTTTCACGTACTTTATTACAGGTTCAGAGGGGTTAAAGAAAAAAAAAATCCAGTTAGTGGTAGGGAGGAGGATTTGAATCAGGGACCTCCCGATTTCAAACACAGCGCCCTAAACCACTCGGCCTGATTAACTTTAATTTGTAAACTCGACAGTTTACTGTAAAATGTATCTATAGATAAACCAACTGGGCCAAAAGTTGTAGAGGATTGGCAGATCCACACACCCTTATTCACATCCATCTCCCCTCTGTCTACTGGTGGAGCGGTTCTGCGGTGAAATTAAATAAAGGAAACAACCATTTATACTGAGCATTTTCATTTGATTGTAGCAGTTCCAATCTTTATGGTTTTCACAGCCTCACACCTCAACCAACACGAATATTTCCGGAATTTCGTTCTAATTAATAAACAGCCACTGTTACCCAAGGTTTTAAGCTTTACATAATTTAACCATTTTAATCGTCACCATGGCAATAAGTTCCTGTCAATCAAGTCTCCAACAATCATTCTGCCGTTAATGAGCAGATTTGGTTTCCATTTTTGTTCCTTGCCAAGAGACACGAATGGCGGCTGTACAAATACCCTTCGTTAAAAAGCTACAAACAAAACTTCAAGAAACTTATTACAA